CCACCTCTGTTAACTTTCTTGTTCTTACTAAGTGCCTTCAAACTGACTCTGACTTACGATGCCCCTGTCCTAAGGTTTTCCTGGCCAGATTTATTCAGATGAGGTTTGCCAGTGCCTTCCCTCAAGCTGAGAGAATGTCAGTTTGCATATCACTGGTGATAGGAACCCTTGTCTCCTGGAGTCCAGGTCCAATCGTCAAACTGCTACACACTACACTGGTTTAGTCTGTATTTTAACATGACGCAAAAGCCTTTTGTTGTTCCCTAACATTGTAGTTAGTTTGCTGAACTTTTTGCTGGTTTCAGAATCTTTTCTGTTAAACACTTCTGTTTCCATAAGTTTTCTCAGCAATTTCCTTGAAAAGCAAAATAGAATTGCCCTTCCTACCTCCTCTCCTAGCTCCCATCTTGATCTTCTCTTTGTTGCAGACAACCAACTCAAGTCTTGGATGAGCAAATATGGCTGGACAGAGCCAGAGCCAGGGACAATCTTCATCAGCAACCAGGAGGAGAGCATCAAGCCCAAAAACATTGTGGAGAAGATAGACTTTGACAGTAAATGTCTCCCCTCCCTTTGCCTCCTCTGTTGTCATGCTTCTTGCACCACTGTGATCCCGCTTAACAAAACAGGAGCTGACTTTCAAACAGTATTGGGTGCCCTCCCTGCCATTAAAAATTCAACCACTACATCAAATAAACTTAGCCGCTTTGATGGCATTTTTGCCATGCTTTCAGTCCTGCTGGGCCATTTTAGGTTCCCAGAAATAGCTTCTGGTTTTAAGGAAGGCCATTTCTTGTCTACAGATTGCCCACCCTAGTCTAGATAAATCAGGAACTTGGGAAAGTTGTTATTTGCCATATCAACGCAGAATTCACCAGCCAGCTTGGCCATACCGGGTGGAGATTCTGGGGGCTGTGCTCCAGAAAAGTAACTTTCCCAAACTCTTAATGAATCACTGGACTGATTCAGTTGAAGCTAGCATCATATTCTGAATCTCTCTATTGCTTTTCTTCCAGGTGTCTCAAGTATCATGGCTTCTTCACAGTGAAAAGGCTTCTTCCACTAATTCTCCCTCATTGCATTTATTTTAAATATTCTCAAGAATTTAGCCAATAAAGGACTATAATGTACACTATGCTTGAGTGTTGTTCCAGTGTCACTTATGATCTCTGCCATTATTTGCAGTTCAGAAAAGTGACATGACACAGTAAAGAGAAGTTCTCTGAGGTGCCAGAGAATTGTTAGCACCTCACCACATGCGATTGCTAGTGTCCTGCATCTTAGGAGCTTAAAAGTATCATGGCTGGAGAAGAGTAAGTAATAGTGTTCGGAGTTGAGCTAATAGACAAAAGTGAGATTGACTTCAGTGGCGAGAATATGAGTTTCCCCTCATTCTTCCACCTCACATCGCCATGAGGTTTGCCAATTAACTTGTGATTTCTTAATGATTCACAGAGTTCTCCATGCCACCCGTGAGGATGGCCTTCTGTCAAACTCATTGCCACGGCTACTTTTTATGCACCCCATTTTTCACTTTGAGCTTGGTAGTACAACAAGGGTGGCCAAGGTGTGGCTCCTGGAATTCCCAAGTACGGCCCTTGAAACTTCTTATGTGCCTTCATGTCACTTCCGACTTCTGGTGACCCTAAGATGAACTTATCATGGGGTTTTCTTGTCAAGATTTGTTCAGAGGTAGTTTGCCGTTGCCTTCCCCTGAGGCTGAGAGCATGTGACGTGTCTAGTTTTATGTCTGAGCTGGGAATTGAACCCTGATCTCCAGAGCCGTAGTCCAGTACTCAAAACCACTACGCCACACTTGCTCTCCCCAAACCACCTAGACCAAATTCAAAAACAAAACGTGAGACTGATTTTCAGGTGTGTCCTCCCCCCCCCGCCATGTGCCCACACCACAATAGTTTGCTTCCCCTGACCCTCCAAAGCCCCTAAAACATTTTAAAACACTTTAAAACCAGCTGAAAATTGGTGGAAGTGATGTTCTGTCACTTTGGGTGTGCCAAACACTGGGTGGGCACAAAGTGGGAAGTGGCCCCTGGCCCCTGTGCAGTTGCCCATCCCTGGAGTATACACAAGGGTTGTGAGAGGAAATACTGGACAGGGCTCCTGGCCCTTTAGTAATTATTGTTATTGTTATTAAAAATACAGTAACCTTGTCCTGTATTTCACTTGGCAACCCTAGTGTAGAGATCAGAGCCCTATTTCGTCCAAGCGCTGCCAGTAGCTGACTGTTTGCTTAGGCTGTCACTCACTCTTTCTGCGAAATGGGGCCACTTCATGATGGTAAAAGTATATGCTACAACTGCTCTTTGGTGCATGTGTGGCAGGGAGTATTTCCCAATTAACAATGCCAAAGCAAATGTTTGAAACCTTTTCTAGAATTACAATCCAAACAAAATGGACGAGTGTGGCTTTTCCTTCCCTGCCAACCTTTAAAATTGTATATGTTTGCACACATGCTCATAAATGATACGCAAAAGCATCTTGCAGCACCTTTGAGACTCACTGAAAGATAGGGGAAGTAAGCTCAAGTGTATGAAAGCTCATGCTACAAACTTCTACCTTTCAGTGAGTCTCAAAGGTGCTACAAGATCCCTTTGTGTACTGATTTTCCAGACTATAATAATAATAAAATTTTATTAGCCAAGGCTACCAAAGCAGCTTACAATCTAAAAGCACAATCCCATATAATACAAAAACATTCACACACACCCTAAAAATATATTAAACTCATAACAACATTAAAATTTAACTTAAAACAAAATTACAAATGCGATACGAATTAAACAGGGCACTCTGATTATAAAGGAGTGGCCTAATGGTGGGGGAGAGATTATGGGAAATATCATTCCGGGAACTAACATGGTTATGTCTTTGAGTTCATCAATGGGAAACTCAGATCTGAAACGTGCTCATGGCATCCACTGCACTGTTTGCCTCATCACCATTAGGGGATGCTCATGAGTTGAATCCGAATTCAAATGTTCAGAAACAACTAAAAAGAGTGGAGCAGGAGATTTGACTGACAGATCAGGGAAGCATTTTCCCCCAAAAATGATGATAAGTTCTGATGTCTCTCGTCAATCTGTCCCTCTGCCCTTCCCTCCCAAATCCATTTAGATAACTTAACTCTTGGCCTGGAAATCAAAAACACATTTCCCTTACCCCCCGTCAAATGCATTTCGTAATCTGTCTGGGAACTTGCCTGAATAAAAATTCTCTCTGGCTGGCCTTGCTGCTGGGAACTGGGCCCAGAACTGCTTGAATCCCTCCAGGAATAGGGAAGAAAGACTTCACTGTTCTTGTAAGCTGACTCTACCTGAGCAAATGGGAAAGAAGATGGAGGCACTCCCCTCCCTGAGGCTTGCTGGGGGAATGTCCCAAGCTGCTTTAGGAGGGCTGCCCATCTCCCCTAAGCATTTTCCCATCCTGCCATGTCAGCAGTCACTGAACATATGGTCACATTTGATAGCTCAGGGATGGTGCAGGTCCCCCCCCCCCAGCATTGGCAGCCCGTCTCTGAGGCTTTATCTGCTGAAATCTAGGAAGCAACGTTTATTTTTAACTCTCCTTTGTCAGTCTCTTATAAAAAAGGGGTACTTCAATGCTCTCAGATGATGCTATGAATTCAGACATAGTCCTAAGGCAAGAGTAGGAACTGTGCAGTCTTCCAGATGCTGTTGAACTGCAACTCCCAGCATTGGCTATGCAGGCTAGAGTTCGAGAGAGTTCTAGTCCCAACAACATCTGAAGGCTGCATCAGCTCCATCCCAGCCTAAGGTCTGGTGCATATCAGTGTGTCTCCCTTGCATTAATGCCGTGCGACTTGTAAACATGTATTATGGTAAATGGGGCCACATGGTTTGTAGAGCTGAGTCTGTACTGGTACACGCATTTCTCAAATACAGAGGTTAGATGTAACCTGAAGATAGTGCATAATATAGATGTTTGCTATTTGTTGTTGTGTGCCTTCAAGTTGTTTCTGAGTTATGGTGAAGCACCTCTAATTCTTGTTGTTGTTGTTGTTGTTTTTGTGTGCCTTCAAGACATTTCTAACTTATGGCGAACCTAAGGCAAACCTATAATGGGGTTTTCTTGGCAAGATTTGTTCAGAGGAGATAGTCCAACACTCAAACCACTATCCCACACTGGCTCTCCAATGTTAATTATAGATGCTAATTCCTCTTTTTAAGTTGTGAAATGTTCTCTACATATGTTCTTCATAGAGGCTGAAACCGTGCCCCATGGCTTTACATTTGGCATTATGTGTATTGCTATTCTGAACATGCCTATTCTGTTTATACATCTGATTTCTACCCGGCCTTTCTCCAAAACTGGGACAGAAAACCGTTCAGGATAAGAAGTTTGATAACAGCATGAGAACCAAAAATCAGGCAGGTCAGGTTTTGCTCAGCAATGAGATTTTTACAAGGATGTGTTGATCTGATCCTGTCTAGCTGTTACCACAGCTGTTAAAAGCACAAAACCACTGTAAATCGAGAAAAGTGGTACTCTCTATGACTTGTAAGAAAACAGGTCTCTATGCTGCCGTTATGAACATGGAGAATACACTGTCATATACGCTGCAAATGAGGCTAATTGTATATAACTCCAACAATCCCAATTTGACAAGGACAATCCTGATGAAGCCCTTCTCTCTCCTCATTTTTTGGTTGTTTTTAAAATGTCCCAGTCTTTCTCTCTTCCTCCCACTTTCCCCTCATGTTCTCGGCTTACTTCAATTGCTGCAAACTGAGTTCAGATTGCAAAAGCCGTTTGCACTCAGTTAACTCACTGAGGGAAGGGAGAGATGCTCTTCCCTTGGCCTCTGTGTGAATGCAACCTAAACAGCCAAATAGCCATAGATCCGATGCAGCCATGCACAGATGCTGCGCTGCAGGTCTGCTTTGTGCAGGCCGAGACCGTCTGTCTCGCCCGTCTGAGATTTCCGTTGATTACAAAGGGGAAGCCGAGTTCCAGAAGGCGGCCATATAAAGCCCGTCTCCAGATGCAGAGGTTCTCCAGTGTAAGGCTGGGAATTTGGCAGTCTGCCAGATGTGCACATCTTGGGCCATTTCAAACTTGGCTGCTGATCCTCCTCTCCTCCTTGCTGTTTGTAATCCCCGCAACATTTTTTGCTTTCCTGCCTCACTCTCCCCTCCCCTTTTCTGTTTTCCACTTAGTGGTCCAGCCAGGGTCGTGCCCTCGCTTTTCCTGTCCGCAGAGATGCTGAACATTCCAGAAATGTGAGTGTGGGTATTTAGATGTTGGCTGGGATTGCATCCATCCATCCTTCAGCAATTTTGCTATTTTAAAATTCACTGGGAGCAGGAGCCAGATTCTACAGAAGAGTGGTTCAGGGCTTGGGTGGTGGTCCATCTAATACTTCAGCTAGTCCTATCTGAATTGGCTTATCTGCTGAGGATGCTTTGAGACTGCGAGCCAGTTCTGGAAATCTGTTATAGACCCACAGTGGGATACCTTCCTTTTGTTATTTTTACTATTGGTCATCAAGTTGACATTGGGTTTTATCACACGGCGAAAAAAGATGGGAGCATAGCGCTATGCTCCCATCAATATCGCGCAATGATGGGATGATTTTCACACAGTGTCGTGCGACATCACCATTATCGCACAATTTTCCCGTGAATAAAGCGGCAAAATCGCACCACTTTTTATTTCCAGGATTTTCCCATGAATAAAAAGCGATGCAATTTTGCTGCTTTATTCATGGGATAATTGCGCGACATTGTGCGACGTTGTGTGAAAATCATCCTGTTACTGCGCAATATTGACGGGAGCCTAGCACTATGCTCCTGTCTTTTTTTTGCTGTGTGATAAAATCCTGTTGGTCCAAAACAACTTTTCAGAAAAAAATCCAGTCTGAGACCACTTTAACTGTCCTGGCTCAATGCTAGGGAATTCTGGGAACTGTAGCTTTGTGAGACTTTTAGCCTTCTCAGACAGAGAGCTCTGGTACCACAATAAACTACAATTGCTAGGAGTCCCTAGCACTGAACCAGAGCAGTTAACGTGGTCTCAAACTGGATTATTTCTGCAGTGAGTTTTGGACCTTGGACTTAGGGCAACCTTCATGGTCATTGCCTGCCCTGCTCAGATCTTGCAAACTCAGCTGGCAAGTGAGAAAATGAGAGGCACTCCTAATTTCTCACCATGAATTAGGAGCCATTGGTGGAAAATTTAGGAGTGTCTCTCGTTTACCCACTTGACAGCTGAATTTCAGATACAGAGCAGAGTGGAGGGTGAGCCCTGGTGACACAAGGAGTGGGAGGGGAGGAGAAAGATGATTGAATTAATACATACATAGACCCCCTAGAGCCTATTTGGAAGTTGCAGTAACAAATCAATTAAGACTTGCAGACTGCAGCACTAAGTTTTGCATGCAGCTTTTTCCTTTTGCCTGGAACTGAGCTCCCACAAATCTGGAGAATTTGCATCCTTCTCCCAGATTGAGATGACTTACAGCAAGTGGAAACTTAGAACCAAGCCCTGAGATCTGGCAATGCTATGAGCATTACTAGACTTCTGAACGTCACATAAGTCCAAACCAATGCCTTGCTGGAGATGGATGGATTTTTTGGACAGAAGCATGGCTCAAGTCAGACTCTAGTCTGATTCTTTTCCTCAACCATGTCCCCTTCCCTGGTCCAGGTATCTGCTTTGTATGTAATCAAAGCAACAATTTTATGGCATGCCTGTGACTTGCACTGTCTGTTTGAGAATGGCACTGCCTTGTTGGGTGTGTCGCTTACTTTTGACAGTCGACAGGGAGTGAAAGGAAATA